AACATCTACCCACAACTTCTTATATAAACTTTCTACACTTGAAATTATTTGCTGCCACAACAATTTCAGCAGTATATATTCAGTATTGATCTCCCTTCTACTAAATGACAACATTTAGAAAAAACAATTGGCTGTTATTCTAGTTCTACTTCATACCTTTGCTGCTCCTTTTGACATGGGATAGCACGGAAGAAAAATATATATACTGGATCTGAAAAAATTACATTTGACAGGCAGTGGAAGTGTAAGCTTCTGAGACTCGATGCAGGAGCTGCCTTCTGTTTTGAAATGATATTAAGCAGTGAATTGAGACATTTTTTGAACGAGCCTCTTTATAGAATTGGGGTTGACATGGATAGGGCTGTGAATGTAACCTCGTTCCCCCCCACCCAGCTCATTCAGAATGCACCCCTCGGCCCACACAATAGGCCACTGTATCGCCCCACAACCACTGGAACCCCCGACAGAGGTGTGTTATTCATTTCGGTGTAATTCTGTACACATTAAAACGAGAACCCTTCCATTTTGACTGTTTAGGGAAACCAGAAAGGGCTGGAGAGGCGCCTGCCCAGCGATGAAACAGAGTGCTGTTTATACAACCCTCTTAAATACGGCTGAAAATACAGCACACACGCTCCCCTCCAATCTCTCATCTGCTGTGCACAGTTTCCACTTAAATGTCACGTCCCAAACTACACATTACATCAAATTGTACTTAATGGCATCCAGACAAACTTTTATGTGAGTCCAAATTTTTTTTTCCTCCTCTCCGCTGTTATAGCTAAACTAGTGATCTCTCATCAAACATCTGGACTCCATTCCAGGTAGAATATGGAGCTAGAACAGCAGGGTGAGGGGGCTGGTGTTAGCAGGGTAGAGGGGTAATAAAGAGCCCAACAGACAGACTGATGTTGCCGCAGGAGAACAATCACACCACCCCTCCACACAAACCCATTCTGACTCGCATGACTGGAACATCTGGATCGCGGTCACAACCCTACGGACGCAAGGTCTGTAAAACCAGAAGCTCCAAGAGATGAGCTGGTTACTCGCTTGGCTTTGGGAAACAAAATCCTTATACGTGCTGCAGCCTTCAAATGCACACTCTCTTTAGCCAAAATCCACACTGACGCCAACAGCTAAAGAGCCAGAATTTCTTGAAAATAACGGATGGCCCACAGAAGTTAGCTAATTTCTTTTTATTTATCAATTTCTTTTTTTTTTGTTTCATGTTCTCCTGTCTTAACTTCGGTACACAGACCATAAGAATTTCTGAAGCTAATCCAGCCTGGGTGTGTAAATGCACTGTAATGGTGCTGGAGGACCAGTAGGTGGCACTATTTTCTCTGGACCCGAATGCTCCAGTATGGTCACCTGGACATTGAGCTGTAGGAAATGCCATCTTTCAGATGAGACATTCAACTAAGATTATAACGTCCGAGTCATTTAAGAACCTATGGCAATTTTCAAAAGGATAGGGGCGGTAACCCCATTGTCCTGACTAAATTCCACTCTGAAATTGAACAATCGAGCCTTTATAAAGTTCCCCTTTAATTCAACTGGCAAACTTTCTCACCTTTTCTCCCGATCTGTTATGCGGTGGGGTTACTAGTGCATTACAGCAGTTGCACATTACCCAGAGATGGGTGCTACTCTTCAAAGTAGATCAAATGGGTACCTTTCAATATGCAAAGTGCTTGGGGATGCTTTCTTCTTCTTACAGTATATATTACACATACATAGGTCTTCCCTGGATGTTAGAAAATAACTTAGAAACCACATTGTGCTTTTCTGATTTATTGGATTGGGAAAGGCACTAAAAAATATGCTTCTTCTCTTTATTATTGGCCTTTTGTGATCTAAAGTTGTGCTTGGTGGAAATAAGTGATCTTCTTTACTTAATATTGATCTAATGAGATGGGCACACTGGAACAGGCTGAACCAATAGAATTCTTAGCGATTAATCCAGTTTATTTTCAAAAGCGTTAACTTAGGAGAGGTGGACCTCATGTGGCGGAAAGTATAAACAACACCTGAGTATTACAGCATTGAAGCCCACTGTTGGACAGTGCCTCAGCTCTCGGGGATAAGAGAAAAAAATAAAATTAGGAGAAGGGCTGGGGCCAGAGGGGATTAACTAGAGTAATTTAGGATTTTTTTTTAAATATAAAGTTCAACAAGAAAACCATCCCAGCTACAACGCATGCCCATTAACTCCAGCCTTCAGTATCCCCCCACTGGCACCATGGATCCTAACTGTTGAAAGCTCTACCCATATTAAGATATGCCAGGATCTGGTGATGCCAGGAGTGGCGGCTCTGCCAATGCAGTGACAGCTATTTTTTTTTTAACAGCAGCTACACAAACGCCCAACCAGATCCTGAGTTAGATCAGAGTTGCTGTAGAGCAAGAACACCAAGTGGTAACTGGGAATACAGGTAATTTTGTTCTGACAGAAATAAGACAGATCTCATCTGCCCTATATTTATTGAGCGCTAAGTAACAGCAGCAGGTGCTGCACAGAACATAGGACGCAATGAGGAAGGAAATGCAAACATTAGAATTCTATTAAAACTATTTACTGACCTAGTTTGCATTTACCAGCTGCTTAAAAACCATCTTTCAGGCATAGCACAATTACTGCATACCCATCATTAGGCCCATTCGTAGCAGTGAACCAATACAAAACCAGATTTCCACTAATGCTGTGAACTATACACCTCTTAAGTTTATGACAGGAAAAAGCATACTGCTCTCAAAATGATCATAGCATTACAACACTAATACTCGTCACTGGTCTTAGTTATGTAAACATTGGAAAACATGGTGAGTGAACAGCAGTTGAAATGGTTTTGATTTGAACATTTTGTGGCAGTTGCACTAAAAGCTAAAACATGCGGTCTGTAAATCTACTTGGACCTCAAGACAATTTTGATTAGGGGTCCCAATAATTTCCTGCAGATGTCAGACTTCGACGTTGAATTATGTTCATCAGTGATATATTTAATGTAAGGACAACTGTTTCCAAAACAAAATATTCTTGCAACATTCTTTGTACAAAATGGCACATTTGGTTACAAATAAGGAAAAAGGTGTCGTGCCTGGACTACATACAGTGAATTTAGACATCATAGCTTGCATTTGCAACAACTGTCCAGATTTTTTAATGAGTATTTTTACCTGAGGCACAACATACATGAGACTGAAAAATCAGGCAGATAATCAGATTTTTATAGACAGCACTAAATGACACAATCATGGCACTGTATAGGCCATAAAGCTGATGTAAAATAAAAATACAGGCCTGAAAAGAGTTCAAGCAAAATCCAGATTAAACAAGAGTAGTTAAATGAGACTGAAACGGTTTTAAAGTGCTGGAGTCCCTGACAGTCTATGGAAGGCAGTTTATTTTTGGTTTTACTTAATTAGGAACTAATGCAAACATCTTTTGCTGATGGCTATAAGCATATAACACCTGTTTTGGCTTCACTACCCTGGCTGCCAGTCAAATCTAGAATAGTTCACATATACAGTCTTATCTTCCGTGCTGTCAAAGGACTCAATTTAAATCCATAACCAATCAAAGCCACCAAGGCAATAAACAGGCAATAATATGGATGAAAAACAAATTACACCTTTGTAACATTTGGGCCTCGAAAGACAAAGTCATGCCAGAAAGAACAGGTCTTAAATTGATGTAGCAGGGCTAATTTCTGACCTACACATAATCATGTCAGTTAGCTAAATGTGAAGAGGACCAACCAGCTTGATTGTATCGACTGCTTAATCTTAAATAAGGAATTTGACAGTTCTGTGTGGTTGATCAGAATAATCAATTATACCTGCACATTGTGTCAAATTACAGCAATAAAAACTAACCCAGTGATGGCAAATTACTGAACTGAGGAGTCAAATACCAAATATAAGGGGCTTAATACAGAGCCCTAAGGGACACTAGAAGGCATCAGATTTGAAAGCACTCCAATTTAATAAGTGGTTTTGATCTGATGTAAATATGCAAACCGCTGAAAAAAGTGGAAATATCTATTTATGTACAGTAAAAATACAGATATACAGTTGCTAGAATTGGCACTTGACAATAGATCACAATCTGCCCTGCGGGTTTGCCCAAAATCTAGACCGAAAACGTCTGCAGAGCTTGTTACACAACAGATGATTCTGGAGTTGACCTGCCATCACCGGTGAGTTATAGCAATACTGACATCTGCAGTGTTTGTGATTATGGGCCTTCTCATCACACGTTTAATAATGCACAAAAATTGCCCGTCACTACAGTGTCAATCAAATGTGCAGGTGGGATGTTCGGTGCACTGGATCACACACACATGTGGAACATCTTTGATGTGCAATATTTTTCTCCAGTCTTTGGCAGAAACGCACTGTGCAGCCAGTGAGAGACAGTAAGTCTGGAACCAGAAAAAACACAGACATCAGCAATGCATTTAGAAGCTCATATTTAAGTTGTGTTTTACAACAGGACAAAAAGCAGTCCAGTTACTCCCTTCAATACTACAGGCTTTTGCCAGGATGTTGGCAGATTTAATGTTGTGAAAATTACAACCTTAATGCAAAAGCTTTGTTTAAGGGGGCACCATCCTCAACACCTGAAAAATATTCTCAGCCAGCTAAAATGAAACTAAAGAAAAATTAAATTGGAGTTTGGTCAAATGGATTAAAAAGCCTGAAATACAATTTAGCAACTAGGTTAAGACACCTGTTGTTTCTAATGGTACTATAGGAAGTTATTCATAATTAAATACTAATTTCATTTAAAAAAACCTCACTCAACATAAGCATGTTTAAGGGTAGAGGGTCAGCTACTGCTCCACCAGCAACAGTAATCTTCTCAGATACCTTTAATTTAACTATAGCACTGACCAGCCTAGGCTCCCCTTAACGTCTGTAGCATAATCAGGCTTCAGAGTGGCATAGCTCCTTTAATTTGATGCATTCATGGGTAAAAGAAAAGAAAAAATGCACACAGTACAAAGCCCTTTTAATCTCATTTCCAACATGGACGTACATTATTTTTCTAGCAGGAGATACATTAGAAGCAATGAACACAGCCCTTAATACACAGACCTGTGCAATACTGTGCCAGAGAGATCATGGTAGCATGGACTATTGAAGACAAAGCACCTTAAAACCTTTCCCTCTCTCAACTTCAGGCTCCTGTTACTTTCTATCTTTTTACACAAAATCAACTTGGACTGAGAAATGAAATAAGAAGCATGCACTAGAAAACACAGCCTACACATAATACAGCTTACAAGGAACGTCAGTACATGTATGAATGCATCACATACAAAAGAAAATTTAAATGAACACACAAAATATTACCGGTTTCTTTTTTCCTAGAGGTTATGGGCAGCAGACATCGCCACAGTGCAACACTCAGTAGACTCCGGTAATCTAGTCACTTCACGAAGAACACTCTGCCACTCAGATGTGGACATGCACTGTACTGTAGGACAGGGTTTGTGATCCCTATAGCAGTGGTGCTCAATAGCTGTGAATCACTAAGGATCTATATTTTGTGAGAGAGGTGTCCATGCAGTCAATGAAGTCTAGTTTGTGATGCCAAAGCTCTCAATTCAATAACTGGCGGAAGAAGTATTTGATTGAACAGCAAAACATCCATTAAAAGGTCTTTCCAGGAAAGTAAAAACTTTTTAGCCATTGTACTATGAATCGGGAGCAATTCTTAATGCAACTTTTTAAAAGAACTTGAGGTCACTCAATGTGCAGGTCCAGTAATGCAGCAAATTATGTTCATGGAGATAAGAAGAAGCAAAAAAAAAAAAAAAAAAAAAATCGCTGCAGCCTCCTGGTAACTAAGTTCAACAGCCCTGGCTTAAAGAATGGTCAAGAGAATATATGAATCACTTGCAGTTCATGCCTCGCGTGATAACCAGTACCAGTCATGTTGATGGGGAAGTTTGTGGCTGGAACAAACAGCCCAGCCACATTGTTGAAAATAAGTCGCTGGGATCCTTCAAAAAGCATTTGGATGAGATCCTTATATCAAGAAGCTATCAGCAACCAAATGAACACAGAAGGAAACCTGTCATCTGCAATCCTTCATACTCTCTTCTGCTGTTGTGTTCATGTTTGAACATGTGCCCTCATACATAGTGTAAATAGGATGCTTTGACTTTGGTTTACTTTTAATTTGACAACCCTTAAAACTTGGCATGAGTCAATTTCTCAGATAAAAGCATAACAACTCATACTGGAAAAAAAAAATTCTGAGCTGCTTTTTATGCAACATTGCAGGCACTGTTTTGACTCATGAATTCCTCAAGTCGGGTTCACAGGTAAAGCTGATCATAAGTCCCAGAGCCTGTTTAACCTGTATTTCAGTCCTGCAATGTCATGAGAGAGTAGATTTATGAGTTGTGCTTTTATTTTCTCCAGTGGTTAAATGTGACATCCCGATGAGTATTTTTAGGAAAAGGCTCGAGATGCTGGCAGCAAATCACGATCATGAGTACCATGTTATTACAACACGTAATAAAGTAAATTAAACAATAAATCATCCGAAAGCCAGGAGCAAAATGAATATTTTTCACTTATTTTGGATATAGATGAGACTCAATGACTGCAAATTACCAAACATTAACACAGAAAACAATTAGTCTTGCATATAATCTAGAAGAATACTTTAGTAATTTTGCACTCAGAGTGCAATTTCCCCATGCACTTTATGCAGATGTGCTTTTCTTTATTTTCTTTATTACAGCAATTCAGCATTCTTTCCCCTGCTCCGACATGTTTAAATCATTATCCAATTATTCTCACTGTCGTCACTGCCTTTTGCTTTGATATTATCACAAAGCACCATAGCAAGCTGACAAAACTGCCCACACCCATCATAAACCATATCAAGAAGGCTGAGGGGGCTTAATAGATGAAGCAGCCATGCAGTGTGAATTATAAACAAGAGGGATGTTAAAAAGTTATGCAACAGAACAGTCACATTTTCAAAAGGTAGCATCTACAGGAAAAAAAATAGCCACGTACTAAAGGGATAACCCGTTCATGAAACAACTCCTTTTCAAAGCACAATTTATCCCAGATGTATTCTATATTTGTGTACAGTGGAACTTTGTAGAAAAAAAAAAACGATTTTACAAAAAAAGCCTTCTTATAATGAAGCCAACCAGCTTAGTGGGGGAAAAAAAGAGACCTCGATCATGAAAACAATTTAATTTTACAACAAAGAAAAGGCACAGACGCTCGAAAATTCTGTCGCGTAACTTTTTTCTTTTAAATACATGTTTTGAAGTCCTGAAGAAAATATAAATATATACATGTAACAATTTGCAAAAGTATTTGATATATTCCCTTGTCTTACAAATATATATATATTTAAAAGGCATAGAAAAGAAATCTGGCAAAATATCCTTCAAACAAGTTGAAAGTTGTATTTTAAATAGACTTTTTTTGCATAGAAAAATCTTAGTTTCTATTGCTTTCTTAAAGAATCAGATTATATCAGCATAGTTCACCTTCCAATATTTATACACCCTGCTATTTTACTGTCCTGCTACTTGGACTGTTATTTTCAATGGTAACTCATTATTCCATCAAAAAAAGATTTTTAAAAAATCTCTAAAAACTGAATGAGAGGATGGAATCTTGACCGGCACTTCATTGTGTATACACAGTGAAAATGTAGCACAATCCTACCTCCACAGAGCAGAAAACATGGATAACTAAAAAGTTACGTATGACGCAAAGTGCACAAAATTTACAGGAAAGAGATTTACAAATGCGCATATTTAAATATCTGAAATTTTATGAAGCATTACACATGTACTCATTCCATCAATATTTCAGTCTTCTTCTTGACTGAAGTATTTTTCCCCCCATCATTGAAGATCTCTAGCAGATAAAGATGTTTGTTACAAATTTGGATATGATGTCACAGTAAATATTTGTGAAGCCTTTAAATTAATTTTTTATTCCTTCCTACGCTTTGACCAAGGCCACAGTGAAAAACACTCGCAAGTCACTCTGGCATTCACATCTAGAGTAGGATTTGTTAAAGAGCAGTATTTTCTAGATAAATAAAAAAAAACAGATTAAAGAGACATGCAGAAAAATGTTACTTTTGGTACAGGACAGCCATAAGTGGTCCAGAATTATTAATATACTGCAGCTCAACCTTACATAAAATACCTGTTTAAAGTGGACAAAATTATTCAGATAAAGTCATTTAGAAGTCCTGGTAAAAATACTCTCATTTAAACTAACACTATTTGGTAAACCGATTAGAGACTTTTGTTGCAATTAGGACATAAAGATTTGGAAAAGATCTCTTAGGACTGAAAGAGTGACAGGGGACGCAGGTTTGACCAGAACTCAATTAGCTGCAGTATATAAACTATCCAGGACCCACGATGTCCATTCCTGTACTAGCAGTAACATTTTAAGACTTAATAAACAAATAATGAAAGGTGACCTACTAAGATGGCCACCCCTGGACTAATACATGAAGCAACTCCATATGGGAAGAACCCCCCTCCCCCAGAACAAATGGTACCAAGCATCCCTGTGAGAGAATCAAACTCTAGGTTGCACAAAAGCAGTGCTAAGAAAAATGTGAAAACAAAATTACTTATGATTTAATTTTGGGGACATAACTCACAAGACCCTTTGTGTTAACTTGCATTTTGCATAAGTTACCTGAAACCAAATAAGATGTTAATGTGTTCACCAGAAAAGTATATAAGTACCTACCGGCATTTCCTGGATGAAAATCACGGTAATAACATTTTCTTCTAAAAGGAGCTGCAAATTCAACTCTACGGTTTTAGCATTCTCAAAACTCTTTTCGACATATATTCATATATGTTTCTTTGGAATATCAAATTATTTTATTGTTGCTACTGTTCTTGCTGCCTCACAAAAAATCAGTCTCAGTTCCTTAATTTTAATCGACTGAGCACTTCCACCCCTATCTACTGAAATCAAGTCGATTACTGTTGGTTGTCACCCCAGGGCCACCCACTTCAGTGGTGCATGAAACAGCATAAAGTGCTTGATTATTATTTCATTATCTAAAGGGAGTGGAAGAAATTTGTCATTCAGAGATGACATGACATCCTTAGTGATGAGATGATGTAGCCCTTGTTTAGTTGAACATTTAGGAATTCCTTCCATTTAACGGATAATAAATACAAAAATTCCTGGCCAGATGGGGTAACGGACATGAATGCATGATTGACTTAAGTGGAGGGCGTATTTCTGAGACACCAGTTGTTCCAAGGTTGCTGAATCGACAGAGGAAGACTGAGCCTGTTCTATCTTGGAGAACTCTCACTTGTGTTGACAGCTCCCTACAAGTTAAAAGGCAGGTAAGACTGACTGTAAACAGAAAACAAAATACCTAATAATGTTACACCAATGGCACATCCTCTGGAATTAAGCCTATGCCCCCTAGCCTAACTGCCCACAGTCTGTCAGGAGTGTCCTGCTGGGGTCATCTCTAGTGGTGAGGGGAGACCATGGGGACATGGGTACTGCCAGGCCCTTGGTACCGTTCCTTGGCGTGCTTCTCACAAAACATCTCATCGCCCACCCAAAAATGCCCGCGCATCTTCAGGTTAAGGCAGCATTGTGTGCAGGTGTAGCATTCCGGGTGCCGATACCGGTCTTCCATGATGCGGACAGCCTGCGTCCTGCAGACAACCAGTACAATATTGCTCAGTCTAGTCAGACCACACAACACAGAAACGGAACATATGCTGTATATGGAATCGCTGTTGCTCATTCATTTAAACACTCAATTTTCATTAGATCTTCCTACCTTTGAGCATTTAAACATTCACTGAAAAAATGAGCATAACATGTGAACCTGTAGTACAGAAGTTTACAAAACCACCTGATAAAATCCAAAACTAAAATTACACTTTGAAGCTAAGCCACATAAAGAACTTTCAGTGAAAATATAAAAGCATCTTTTCACACTTGGCTCAGCACGCAGGAAAACCCATTAAAATACTTTTTTAAAGCGTGCTTGTTTTGTGTTTATTTATACTTTCTGCACTCCTTAGTATGGTCTGTAATCAGTAGCTGTAAACATGCTTCTTTAAACCAATCTGGTAATACTGTTATAAGTAGCTTCATAATACTGTATATGTGACTGTGAAAGAAGTTTAAGAGCAAGGAGGATTCTGAAAAATACAACATTACAGCTGTTTAAGTAACATTAATTTTCATCCCTGTTGTTCGTGATAAGCTACTAAATTATTGCTCCACCACACTCTCTTGGTGTAATTTTGATTAGGGGAGTCACTGAGTCAGCTGTCCATCTGATGTCACTCCCAGCTGATGGAGAAATGACCATTACAAGTGTTTCCATCACACCAGGATTTGGAAAAATATGGCTCTTTACCAAGTATGAATGATATCAGCCAGAGAGGAACCTCCCAGACATACTATATAATCTGAATTCTGCCTGACTCCTTAAAGCAGCTGACGTGAAGCTGACAAAACTGCAGACTAGGATCTTCTGGATAATTTCTTATGAGGAATGTTTTTCAACACTAAAACACTTCTTGAACCCATTCTGAGTTTAGGTTTTGTGCAGGCACACTATTTTGTATAAACTCCATGTGAGCTCATGGAGCAAAAATGAGTCCAACTTTATGTATGAGTTTTTTTTTAAATGGCGACTTGCTAATTATTCCTTGTATACACTCCTGATCTGGAGCAGCCAGCTGGCTCTAGGATGTCTCGGCACACAGCTGTGAACTCCTCCCACCTCTCATGTTCCAACACAGCCTCTCGTCCCTTCACTTACAGTACCGCATGCCTGTACAGTATTTGTCCTCGAGGACACAGCGGAGCCTGAGACCTGAGAGCCCTGGGTGACTAACTTCGCTCTGTTCTCAATGCTGCTGATTGAGGAACCCAGTCACCACCGGCGAGTGACATAAACCAGGCTTGAACCTGCCATTACAGCTCAGCCTGTACTGATTGGCCTCATTTACTGACCATTCTGAAGTTCCCAAAATAAGTACAATGCTTAAACCAGCTATATTGGCTAATTTCTAAATAAATAAGTTATTGCCATGTTAAACAGCTACAACAACACATGATGAAGTACCGCACCTCTGTATTTTCTCGAAAGCAGCTATGTGGTAAGAGTGTAGCTGATTCTACTGCACTGGGTGCGTGATAAGGCAGCGGTCTCGAGATCTTACACAATGCTGGTGCCACACTTCTCACAGGTGTGGAACTTCTGAACGCCGGCCACAGACGAGCTTGGCTTCGGAGCGTTCGGAGACAGCTTTCCCGGGAAACGCAGAGCGGCCTCTGGCAACCCAACAACACACAAAGAGCAGGTCGTCAGAACCCAGCAGAGAGGCATTTCACAAGGAGGTACACAATCTGCATCCTTACTGCGTTGTAGGATGTATATTCATGTATTCTTAAGTTAAAATAACACTTACGGGGGGGGGGCGGTCTATATCCTACAGTATAAGTGTGCATAAGTGCGACACCCCCTTCGAAAATATCTATAAGGTACTGTATCAAAAGAAATGGACAAAGATTTCTGCAGAACAGTGAAGATGGACGGATGACCCCGTCCTCGCCCCCATCCTAGGTGCTCACGGAGGTGCTGCAGTACCTTTCTCATCCGCCTCCAGGACCTCCTGCAGCAGCCGGAAGGTGCTGGACTGGCGAGGTGCCGATCGGGACTCCTTGTTCTCCTGGATCATCTTGTAGACCTCTGAATCCCGGTCAAAGCGCTGCATGCCGGCGTCCGAGCTGCCAACGGCAAAGCCACAGTGTTACTCCAGCCTGAGCGGACCCAAAACCAGGTGTGGCGAATAGAACATTTCCATCGGATGCATCCCGAGTTGAGGATGCCGTCTCTGGGATTGCAGGAATATCCCATACAAATTATACCAAAGCCACCATCACGGCTGCTTTAATAACCTTTATGTCAATAGTGATCCAGCAGATTTTCCATCTCTTCCCCTCTGGAGAATTATGGTGGGACTCCATCAGGCAGAAGAGCCCAGGTTGTTTTAGAGTAGGTTCTGCATGATTGCTGGTTCACCTAGGGCTACATGGTTGACTGCTTTAAGATGTTGCTGGACTGATGCATAACAGATATTCTGCTTTCCAGAAATGTACGTGTGGGTATTAAACTGATTAACAAAAAATGTTCAACTTGTGAAACATTCCACAAATGCGGAAGCTGAAAAGATAGTATCTCTGTATCCCACAATTGCCATTCAAAAACAGATGCGTTTTCTTATCAACAGGACCTCAACCTACATGCGTTTCATTTCTATTCAAACACTTCTGGTTGTAATGAACTCCGAGATGGAGTATGTGTAATGAACAATGTTTTCGCCAATCTTCTTTTCAAATCTTCACTGTGCTTCCTGCATTGCGTTTATTATGAATAGGCCATACAATTTCTCCCAAAGACTAAGAAAAACAACGTCAAAGTACTTTAGAGTAAAGTTGCTGACAAATTATCCACAGCAAATTTCCAAGATTAAGATACTGCTTGCAGAGCACTTCTGGTGCATGCGCTGTTTGAAAGCACACTCCAGATAACTTCTTTACTCATGTGGGATGTTGGGAATTATATGGGAGAAACAGGAATTAAAATGATGAAACTTGCTGCACTTCCTTTCTTCTTGTGTAAGCCAGGCAATCATCTGGAATGACTTTTGTTTTCAGGTAGGCAATCATCTGGAATGACTTTTGTTTTCAGGTTTCTCTAGGCAAAACCAGTTGCGTTTGATTCTCTGAAATGTTTGCAAGACACCTGTTCTCACTGGACCAATCCACTGCTTGCCTGGGTCAGGGCTGCTGTCTCAGGCTTCTTGCACCCCCATCACCCTCAAACCAGTTCTACAACAACAACAGAGCCAGATAAGGGCTGGACCTGAATTTGCACTTGAAAAACAGGTGTGGTTCCAACTCTGTAGATGTCGGTCAGTCAGACACAGTAATTGTATCAGTGGGAATCTAAAAATCTGCAAAATGTAAAATGATGCTGCTAGACTTTTCTAAACCCAATCCCTTGAGCTCTTACCACAGTTAATTCACAATGTTCTATTATTATGTTATTAGGCTGTAACAAATGAGAAAAATATTTCTACCAAAGGGATGACAATTGCCAATTTAATGAGATCATATACAGTACACCAGAAATAAGTAAAGAAGTACAGATATTGATGAGTAAGTTGGAAAAAGATTGCCCCCCACCCCAAATTTGAACAAACCGGTAACTACCTATGCAGCAGAGGGAGATCTGAGCCATGAATACAATTCCATATGAGCACAAAAAAGCCAGATCACACCTGCTGATATCCAATCCTCATGGAAATGAGCACTGCCACAGTAGGATGACCAAGAATTGCGCACTCCAAACTTGCATGAACACAAAAGAAGTTATTTAAAGAAAAGCAATAGTAGAAACTAACAAACTCAAATCTAATGAAACGTTACACACAATGCCCAATTGTAATTGGAGGGCTGGGACAACACTTAGCAGACAATATCCTGCATCTCACTTCGCTGCAGTCTAAAAACATTGCGGTGGCGTTTGGGAAACGGTTGTTAATGGAGTGCGAAATGCCTACAAGCCAGTCAGCTCCCAGACCTACAGAAGTGACGTAAACTGATCGCTACCACATGTACTCCTGGCTCCTCTGTACAACCTGCCAACTTCCAGAAACCTATCATCATTTGGAAAGCGTAAGTGCCAAACGTGTTGGGGACAGTGCTTGCTTGAAAATGGCGATTGCAAAAAGAAAATCCTGGGAATCTCTAGGAAGTTCATGCTGCCTCATTCAGAGTTTCTTGTTTGGGATACCGTTTTACCTCCTGTTGTTTGAAACTATATTACTGATGCATTGAGCAGCTCTTAGCTACTCTATTTAAGCTAATGGAATTGATGCCCAATCATCAATAGAGGTCCATGACCTTCATACCAAAAACAATTCTCCCACTATGAATGGTCCAGTTTGTGCATTCATGTGCTGCTTTCACTTACAATTGATATTTATCATGCTTCTGATCAGTCAGAAAAAAACCCCAGAAAAGTTAGGAAATCTTATTTCAAATCCTGAAACCCTGCTAATGGGTTTTAGAGTGACTTGTCTTTAATTCAGTCGCTCTGTTGTGATTAACTGGAATGTTAAAGGTCTTGTTACAGACTACCAGCTGGGTCTTGCAGACCAAAAATTCCATTTACTTGCTAACAAGAATATGTTAGCAACTTCAGATCACGATTTGTATTTTTACAGATCATGACCTGCAGTTAAATCAGGATATGTATTTTTAGAAAAGTAAGCTAATGTGAACACCCCGAGGTGAAATAAATACCATCCTTACAGATCCAGCCAATAAACAAGCAAGAAAAACAAGAACAAGGCAAAGATACTCTGCATTTCCTTTGATCAGCTACATTTTCACAGACAATTATTAGAGAGAAAAATTAGTAGAGTGGATATGAGGCAAAGTCATACAAGTACCCAGTTGTTTAATCTTCTTTACTCTTAAGAGCAAGTCTGGTTTTCCACAGCTGGTAACTCAAAGACCAATGTATTAATCAGTGAAGATCTTAACCTTTGTTCAATATCTGTGGAGAAAAGTGCTGAACTGTAAATCTATAAAACAGCAATATGACAGACGGATATACTGGGAATCATTAACAGAAAATGAAAAGGCTGCAGACATCTTCTAGCAAAGTCCACATGCAAATAAATAGCCATAGCACCAGGTGTTCACCAGATCTCTAGCATCTGGTTCTGTAGTATGTTAAGGATTCAATACCTTTCTGAAATACGCTGCACAAATATAGGCAGCTGAGATATTCAAAGATTGTCACACATCTGTTCGTGCAAATGTACTTCAAATACCAAGTCTGAAAGAAAAAAAAAAGCATCCAGGTTTGCTGAAGGCTTGGCAACAAAAGAACCCCAAAAAATATCACACTTTGCTATTTTTTGTAGTAATTTAATTTTTTCATTTGAAAACATAAGTCTTGAAACAAAGTATCCACATTGGTTGGCACTACCCACAGCCAGGACCTTGCTGGCCAAATGGTGCCAGAGGTAAGTACACTACTAGCAAATTGAGATTGTATAGTTTCATTTTCCACATCTCCAGACCCAACAGGACCTGCAGGACTGGAGTGCAATGATGGAGGTCTTCCTACAGGTTCCAAAGCCCCAACATTTCCCTTCTGTAGAGGACTGTGAAAAGAGAATCATTCTTGCTAACATGTATTTTGTATGCATGTATGTGTGGGTGTGTATGCTTTTCCCTCAGGTCACTTTGGAAACACAGCTGAGTATCAGTTTTCAATTCCAAAATGAGTAGAAGAGAAGCTAATTGAGTATCTATAAAATAGAATCACACTTGTGTGGAAAACCACAGATTGGTATGAGGTGAACAGCTAGGTTTTATTTCAGAATCTTGGTTTTTAAACAAAATATTGGAAACTATCATTACAAAATTCTCTTGCAGAGTTCCAAGCAAATTTCTGTGACTCGACAACATGACAAAGTCTCAGCTTTACAAAAGGTGCTTGCATACCTAAAGCTGCACAGCTGCTTGTGAGGTATTTTGAAATAGTTACACAGATATTTGGTGCATTTTTAAAATCACTATATTCATGTACACTGTACAAATGTGGGAAGTGCAGCTATGTTTTTCAAAAATCCCCCAAAAGAAAAATAACAGACCTTTAAGAAAAGCACCTCTCATGTTACATTGGTAGAATTCAGATTACCAGCCTGTGTTATGATGTTGAAATTTAACTATACATCTTCCAGCAGAAAGACTATGTAGAAAGTACCCCCCATCCCCCAAATAAAAATCAAAGCCCCAAAGACTCACCGCTAAGCCTGAGCCGAGAACAAAGAAGAAAATTCCTGTGCTGTTAGCTCAACTGCCTGTGAGCTGCCTGCTCTAGGGTAACTTCTGTAGTCAGCTCTGGAGCAGTGTGGCGTGCACACACACAGACACACACCTCTGCTCTGTCCCAGTCAAGGGAAAGAGTCTGGCTCAAAGGTGTGCCCTCAGTCGGCATGTCATTGGCTGAAGGGAGAAGAGGGACGGGATGGGAGGTGGCCTGCGATTGGACAGGGAGGGAGTGAACCCCGTTTTGCAGCTGCCGTGGAGGAAGGGCCTATGAAGGTAAGTAGGGGGTGAGGGGCGTGATGGGATTAAGAAGGGAAATGAAAGAGTCACTGAAAGGAGATCCCAACAGGGACCACTTGCACTGTGGTTCAAGTTTGCTAGTGTGACGAAGGTGGCCAGGTGATGCACAGCAGAGACAGGGAAGTGAAGAATCACTGATCCACCGTGCAAACACTGCTCGGGAGTGTTTGTTCTTTGGTTAGTCAACATTCAGAAATGGTGAACAGATGGGTGGGAAAATGTTATGACTGGGACACATTCCTACAATGGGGGGCTAGGTGAAGGTGTGACAGTGTAGGTCTGATGTAATATTTCTTTGCTTCACTTACATTTCAGCTACAGAAAGCACAGCTCGTCACTGCCTGGGCACACTGAGGCCCCTTCGTTGCCATAGCCAGACACAGATACCCAGGATTCCCTCAAACTCAAATTATGTGCTATTTTTTGCTGCTGTTGTTGATTGTGCCAGGGATGGAAAACAAAAATTCAAAACGCAGGACCTTATACAGACAGGATTAAAGCTGAGTTATAAAGTGGGACGACATTAATAAATAATTCTGAGCATCCACAGTGTAGTGAATGGAAAGAGAAGTCATAATGTAACTTCTTATTCACTAGCGTTGTAGTAGTATTTATGTTTCCAAAAGCAGGGCCTTTTAACAGGTTTTAAATCAGTCCTTATGGTTTAAATCAGAAAAGCTACCTTTTTAAAAACTGCAATGTATTTATCTTTGAAAAAATAGAAATGGTTTTTGTATTGGGCATTTACATTCTTCTCCTCAAAATAAGGCAAGACGCTTGAAGTCTCCTGCACTGCACCGATTTGGATAGGATCTGAAATGGATTCAACGTTCCATAAATGGAGCCTCAACCGCTTGTAACGAAACTGTCGTAATCGTGTGGAACACAGCAGGATTTGAAAGCAGGAAGAAACGAAAGAAGAGGAAAAGGCGTTTCCCCCACACGGCCGCCGCTGTCCGGCCGCTCTCCCGGGACAGGACGGCGGGCTGGGCCGCGTCTGGAGGAACGCCGGGAGGCCGGCCTGTCGCAGCTGCTCTCCTCCCCAGCCCCTCGGAGCAGACAAGTCAAGGAAAAGGAATGCACGGCTCGAGATGTGGGAGCTGAGGCCATGTGCCTTCCATTAGGCCTTTTCCTGAGAAACGCTTTAACCCTTCCACTTCTTCAGCAATGCTTCACAGCTGCCATCTCTTAGGGGGTAAACATCACCCCCCACCCCCCAGGTGGCACTGCACCATGGAGTGACACAGAGCCAGCAGGAAGGGGGTATCCTTGGATTATGCCCAAGCTGCTGTTAGAGCTTGCTGTAAGACTAAATGGTGTCCAGACACTCTGAATAGAAGCGTCCGATTCCGAAACGGTTGTCTCTTTGGGTCCAGTAAATCCCACTCCCTAATAGCTCTGTCTAGAATCTATGTGTAGGATGGTTGTTTTGAAACCGGTGGCATGATGGGACAGTGGTTAACACTGCTGCCTCACAGTGCTGGGGCCCCGAGGTCACTTCCTGTGGTGCTATCTGCGTGGACTCTGCGTGTTCACCCCGTGCTCATGCGGATTTCGTTCTCATGAATGACCAGGGACATACTGGTAGGTCGACTGGCTTCTGGGAAAATTGGCCCTGCTGTGGGTCTTTGCCCCTGTCTGCCCTGTGACAGGCTGGTGTCCCGTCCATGGTTTAGAAAAAGGATGAAGGGATGTTTTAAAGCCCTTGGCTCTTACCTGCGGCGGGGGGAAAGTGGAGGCTCCCTTTCCCTGGGGCTTTGTGGGGAGTAGCGGCCTGGAGGGGTGGGCGTCCGGGACAAGGAATTACTCCGGACGTCGGTGACGAACTCCTGAAACACAGGTGTCCACATCAGCGGCAGCACTGCCACAGAAGACTCGCTCCGCACAGCGGCCTCCAGCAAAAGGGGGCACCTCATTATACTCAGAGCATCACACACGCCCCAGGAAGCAAAGATTCCCGACAAATATGCTGGTGGTCAATATTTCCACGCCAGAAAGTTATGATGATTATTTTCACCCCTAAGGAGAGATTAAAAAACAAACAGACTCTTTCAATAGCTTCAGCTGCTGCAGATGGAGTTTCAAGAAAATACAGAAAAGCTCAGAAAACAGGTTTGACCTCTTCTAATGGTATTTTGCTAGTGCTACAACATACTGTGAGTCAGAAATAACTAAGTTTTTTTTAATCTCAGGAATTTAGTGTTGCCTAATTTATACATTGAGTCATATAAAAGAAAGAAACTCCCACAGAAACCATCTACCTCACAACAATAGTACAGTACCTCACAGCAGAAAGGAGTTTACCCAACTGTTCCCTTTTCTTCTATTTCTTTAAAGGTGTGCTTTCCAGTGACTAACTGCGATGATACTTTCTTACTGCTTCTTTTTAGACGCTAACTAATAACTCCAGGACAAAGGAAAATGGCTACAGTACTTAAAGTTAATAGTTACTACTACTAGGACAGAGTATACAAAAGGGGAAAACAATGTTACACAAAGTCTTCTCTTACAGGCTTTTCAGATGAATTATCTTACACTGTCCTGCTGTCCATCAGAGAATCTATTCCAAGAAATCTTACATTTATAACAAACGAATGATCGTTTAAAAAGCATTCCAGCCTCAATTAGGAATTCAAATGTTCTATAGTGCCTTTTTTTATATAACACATTCTTCTTATTTCAGCAGTAAATAAGGACATGTAAAAAAACATTCCCACTTCTGTACACACTTGTTCCTGACACTCCAGCCGTCTCCACCCTGATACCTATGACCTGCAGTACAACCCATTCCACATCTTCCTCCATCCTATCCAGGTTGCTTCCAAACCCTATCAATTTACAAAGTTATCATTTTCTTTTAAACATACTGTATATTGTACAGATGTAAAAGCTGGACATTTTTCAGAGGATCGATTAAGTTTGAAAATGATGTTAATGTGCAACATCACTTTCATAGATTATCAAGACAATGACATTAGATCAACCTTTTGAGTAACTGGTAACCATTGTGACAGGCAGGAACAGTACCAAGTTCAGTTCACAGCACTCTATGTATATGCTACTGTTTCCCAAGTTATACAGAAGATTACATTCTATGAAGCATTTGGGAATGAATCACTCATGTGGGATATGAAGGGCAACTGATATGAAGAAACTTAGTCTCAGTGCACCAGGACAGCCACTACTGAACAGAAACCCTTCACGGGCGGGTAGGGCTGGCCCGGTATCTGCTACCTGTGAGAAAGAGGCTCACCTGTTGGAGTCAAGCTTTCCAATTCATTAAAAAAAAAACACGGGCCGGGCCACTTCAGTCACGAATGTCAAATTAAGTTTCCAAAAGCATTGCTTTTCGTTCCAAGTCCCTGAGGGCTGTTATACGGATTGAAGGAGTGGTGAGAGAACTCACCCTCACCTGCACAGGCTGCCTGGGTACGCATATGAAAGGAGTCTCTCCCGCAAGAGTGAGGCTTGACTTCCACTGTAAAACTGACTCCACACCTAAGGCTCAATGAGAAGTTCTCCTCCTCCAGCAGGAGGTGCAGACAGCTCTTCAAATGCTGTAGTCCTGTATTTGCACACTGCTCTTTATTCAGGACACAGAGAACAATCCTATAGCTTTAGAATTTCTCCGATACAGGTCGCACTTGATGCAGCCATAAGATCATGAGTATGCTCGGACAGCCATAATGGTTGGCTTTATTCATTAATGATGCATTTTTCTTTTAACAAGTAGACCATAATGGAATCCTAGAAGCAAATCAAATAATGCGCTGTCAAATGTTTCGATATTCAAAACCAAGTTCAACATATGTTAACCTGTGTTAACTCCTGTTTTATAGCATTAACAACACAATGAAGGCAGAATTCTCAATTACTGGATATTCAAACTACAGTCTTCTTTTAATATAATAATTGCTTACACTGATATAGTGATATATTACACTTCACTCAAAGTGCTTTACAGGCAATGGGGACTCCCCTCCCCCACCACCAGTGTGCAGCCCCACCTGGATGATGCGACGGCAGCCATAGTGCGCCAGAACGGTCACCACACATCGGCTATCAGTGGGGAGGAGAGCAGAGTAATGAAGCCAATTCATAGATGGGGATTATTAGGAGGCCATGATTGGTAAGGGCCAATGGGAAATTTGGCCAGGACACCGGGGTTACACCCCTACTCTTTTTCAAGAAACGCCCTGGGATTTTTAATGACCACAGAGAGTCAGGACCTCGGTTTTACGTCTCATCCGAAGGATGGCGCCTGTTTACAGTATAGTGGCCCCATCACTATACTGGGGCATTAGGACCCGCATGGACAGCAGAGTGCGCACCCTCCTGGTGTTTCCCAGGAGGTCTCCCATCCAGGTACTGACCAGGCTCAAACCTGCTGAACTTCACTGGGTTGCCAGTTGCGAGCTGCAGGGTGATATGGCTGCTGGCTATAATAAAGCATATTAACTGCAGTTGCCCTAGTGCTGTATTATCAGCAGAAAATTCACTGTTGCAACCATCTCATCACTGACACAGAAGACATACTGTATAATAAAGTAATAGAGTTTGTTACATGTTGATTGCACCATTTTGCAACACTACAAAAGCACTGTAAGATATTCCTACTCTGTGGGTTTACCAATTATATAATACCTACCCAGATAACTGACCCTCAGGGCTTGGAAATCGCTTTAATAATGAACATTAGGATTCTTTGTCAAAACGTTTTACATGTAACATTTAGGCACTGATGAAGAGTCACAATTTAAATGACAAATGAGGTTTAGTCTAACCTTAATGTTTCATGAAGATGCCATCCTTCTTTCGAACACAAGAGGGCGATCATTTCACACAATTTAGGGACGAGCCCATTTCAACTGTTATCCAGGTTTCTAAGGTAGCATAGGTTGAGTCTGTATGTATGTACAGTATGTACATGCAACAGAAAAGTTAACTAATACATCATAAAATAATGACTCAAATTGCAGGGGTATTTTAACACTTTTTCACACCTCTGTAAGTGTGAAACTAATTGAAGGTACTCAAAAGACATTCTTCTTAGGTCAGAAAGATAAAATCTCTAAAGAAAAAGCCAATAGTCTGTACATCATTAGCATCCCCCAGCTAATTAATTCCAATCACATGTGAGAAGGATTAACGACAACTGTCCAACATTGTCACACCTGAAGAAGGCTTCACAGCCGAAACGTTGCGTTTTCTGTCCTCTCTTTTCAGCATGGAATAAACCTATTGTTCCATTGTCCAACATGCCCATCCTACCCTTGACCCTACCACCCTAATACCCTTCAGGTCATATCAATGGATTTTTCCCACTGAACTTGGTACAGTAATAAGATCACATACAGCACTCTTGCATTCTCCTGGATCGAGCAGAATGACCAAGGCCCTGGTTCAAAAATGTAAAAAGAATAAGGCCAAGCCATAAGATACATCATAAAGCAGTACTGTTACCCATGCACTTTTTGTCTTAAGAAATCATTACAAAGCTCTGACTGGCGTTTTGGTTGAACTGCATTAGTGATCAGCTTACTGCACCGTAATTCACTCGTCTTTAACTTCTCATTATAATTCCTGGTACCTACAATCACCCAGTGTTCTGCAACATGGCTCACTGATTAAAAGTGAAAATGGATAAGATGCAAGATCAGAAGTGAAAGCGGAACAGATGCAGATGACCTGAAGCGTTTCGGTGCTGGTCTGACAAGGAAAACGAGGGATTCTGGTCTCTCTTTTTAAATGTGGATAAACCTGCCTGGAAAATACCTTTTATGCAGATTCCATGGCTTGAAATGCTAACCCTACAAGCCCAACAAACACAAACAGAACCCCTGAGCTCTCCAGCAGCTTGCGGTTTCTCAAGCAACCTGCACAGGACCAGCAGGCCCCTGTCCCACTCCGACTCCCTCAGAGCCTTGACCCAGGAGGGCTGCAGTGAGCAGGCTGGTCCCTCATGTGGTTTGGCAGCAGGGCAGACACACTACACTGCAGCGTCCTATTACACAAGCTTCATTCCCTCACTCACCACAGCAGACAGGCAGTTAACCGGTCTAAAATGACCTACGGTCCCTTCAACGAGAACTGCTGCCTTCTTGCTGGCGATTTTATTGAAGTAAAACAGATATTTTTGGTATTTATTTTTTTTCTTTATTCCTGTTTAGTGCCCGCCCATATCTTTTTATTGCTTCATTATGCCCAGGATCAGAATGAAACAAAACCACAAATTAATTTGACTTGTCTTGATTTGTTGTGCTATAGGGTTAGTTTTATCATTCGTGATCATAGGCCATGAGATGCTATTTGATTTTATTTTGTGGTCTCTCCAGATTGTTATGGACCATGTTCATTTCCTAGTCCACTAGGAACAGCTTCTGAAAAGACTTCAAAGCTCACAGAGGTTCACAGATGGCCTTCAGGGTGTTGGGCAAAGCAGTGGCGGTTTTTCCTGTGCAGTTTCACTCAGCGGGATTGCCAGGAAGGAAAACAGCATTGCACCAAGAACAGTCTCCAAGACCACTGAATATACAGTATTCTGGCAATAAAAGACCTACCTTTCTTTGGTATCGGGCTAGACTGGATGAGTGGCCTCTTTTTATTTGCTCTTGTAGGCTGTTTTAAACATGTTCCTTTGGCCTCCTTAACCGGATAAAGGTCAGACATTTTTGCCAAGTGCCAGTTCAACCATAGGCAGAGCTGGGAATACCCATGGCATTTCGGCCTTAGCGAGCACAGACAAACTCGCCCCAACTGATCTTACACATAAAGCCACAGGAAGAGCCTGACAGAGACAGCACCCATGACTTCCTGTGTGTGACGCAGA